TGGCACTTTCTGCAGCTGCCTTAAGCTATCAGACCACATGACCGCAAGAAAATTTGAAGACAGATCAGCATACCATTAATTTTTTTTGGAAGCCTAAAGAAATTTACAAGAACATCAAAAGCTTTGATGATTAACCATATACATGCAGGAAATGACAAGCCTGCCTTGGAAATACCCTCACCTCACTAGAGACTTAACTCCCGCACCGCCCCCCCACCCCCTTCCCCATTTGCAGTTCCCGAGGGGGAAAAGAGGGGAATTAAGAGCCAGTAGGGCTTACCTTTGTGCCAAGGATTTTGTATTGCCTTAAAGGCAATATGTATGACATGTTTATTGGACTATAAATATATATAATACATATACTAAACCAATCCACAATCATACAAAAAAGAACTATTACCTTTAAAGATTTATCAAATTGTAGCACCTTTCAACAAGACCTTATTTTTAGCAATCTCAAACTCACACGGCAGATGCTTTTGCAAGGCTCATAGCAGGAAAAAGAGAAAATGTTAGCACCAAGTCTTCACGGGAACATCACCCACATCAGAGCAGGCCAGCTGGTCAGTTTGCTCCAACTTAACCAATCTTTGCCAGCAGGGGCCACAAGTTGTAGTGCAGCAACAATCCACCATTTTGTGGTTGCATTTTGACATCTTGATCCAAAGATGAAAGGAGTAGAGAACACCTAACTACAAGATCACTAGAATGGGGTTGGGAATTTTAACAGCGTGTAATGAAGAGTACAAAGGCAGTGTGAACGGAGATCCCCTAGTTATAAAAACGTTAAAATTTAACCCCCCCGCTTTGTCCCACGCAAAGGCGTCACGTAATTGACACCTGATGCAGGGCGATAAATTCTACATGTCTGAGTTCCAATATTTGCTTAATAAAAGTTCGGACGATATAAGCAAAACATCAGTATGAAAGCTGAAGGCCTCGTGGGGTAAACTGAAATGTGGTAGTACTTGTTTTGTAACACGTGAGGGAGCTACACCAACCGAGCTAACAGGCTTCAGTGGCAGGAACCTTGGACTGCAACACTACTGACCCATGTCAATGTTTGAAAAGCAGAACGCTTCACCACTTTTAAACCCTGGATCAATAAATACTCCCCAAACCTTTTCCAACCCTACCAGCGGCAGTTAATTACGGGCAAATACGTGAATTTTGTCAAATGTTGATTTTGCAGTTCTCTTCTCGTCGTTGATGCAACTTCAATGTAAAAGCACCCACTGGAAATTTCAGAAGCCACCAGTACAGTATTCTTAGGCCTCCACTTCAGGTTGTGTTTCCACATGCAGGCATCGAATTGCAAACCTTTGATTCAAAGCCAGACCAGGAACAACCACCATTGTTTTTAAAGCATGGGCTAGCAGAGAGCCATTGGTGAATCCAATATTTGTAGGCTAAACTAACTGACTCGATACAAATTAAAATGACTTGAAACATATTTGGGCGCACAGTTGGCATTCACCAATGTATTCAGTGTGTGGTAAATCCCATGAGCACAGAAACAGTCAGCCACGCCTTTGCTGCAAGGATCACAATGCTGAGATGAGAGCCACAGCTTAACATACGTCCACTCCAAAATTGTGCAGAGGTTTTAAACTCACTCTGACAAAAGGCTCATCTTCCATTTTCAATCCTGGCAAAACTGGTTTGTTAAGACACGTTTCTAGCAGTGTATTAATTGCCGACTGAGCAGAAATGCATGGTTCTTCATCCGTAGAGCCCGTCTTATCTGGCTCGATGCCCAGCGTTAACAAAAACCCTCCAAAGCACACAAATTGATTCCATGATCACAATAACCAGCATTACAACTGATCAGAGCCTACGAGCAACGCATCCAAGCACTCAATACTCGGGAACCTTATCTCTCTGTGCTAAGCATGTTCCCACATTCTTTCACATTAGTTAAACACGAACAGATACGTGGGGTGTGGGCTAATAGTTAAATGATAAAAGACCCAGACAAAAATCTACCTGTAGTTTTGCTCCAGCTCAAACGTAAACCAAGATTTTTATAAAGCTGCAAAATTCATTCCTATAGATTTTCTGATTCACTTCAACTGTCACCTTGTGCATTCGGACCATAGAAACGTACGGTGCAGAGGAAGGCCATTCGGCCTATCGTATAGATGCATTAAAATATGCAACTAAAAATCATTGCATAAAGCATAAAACCATATGGAAAATAAGAGAATTCTTGTCATTTTTTCTTGAGATGGACAAACATTGCAGTGCAGCAACAATCCACCATTTTGTGGACAATTGTGGTTGCATAGTGACATCTTGATTTTTTTTAAAAACATTTTTTGTTCAAGAAACAAAATATTTTCCTCCGCCTCCCCACTCATTCCTCCTTGGGTTTTCCACAGGATACGACTCCACAGTACCTTACCCAAGTGGCAATTGTTGCTACATGAGATTGCCTGCGTTTCCCTTGATCTGCAAACCTAGCCTCCTCCCTCCCCTTTGTGAGTCATCCCTTTCGCAGCTAGTGTTCCAGTCGATTTACTAAGATTGTCATTTTTTAAGTTTACAATTTGCATACCTGGGGATGCACAAAGAGAAATTATTGCAATTATTTGGAAAAACAAGTATTGCGATGAATGACTGGGAATCAGCATCTCATCCTCAACTGGACCATGTTGACTCAAGTGGCCCGAAAACAACATTCCACTTCCAAGAACGCAAACCAAGAGCCTTTTTGAGCAAACACGAATCCAAATTTTGAACCAAAATCCGCAGAATCTTTCATTACACTTCTCTGACCACCCACCTTCCCCCACCACCTTCAGCATTCAGTGGTGCCGGAGAATATACAGCATGTACAAGGAGGAGGAGTTGTACTATTAATGTTCGCGGAATATGCTTATCGTTGCTGTGCTGCCCTAAACTTTCAAATCTTATTTTCTTCCTGAACTGAATCCTCTCGACTTCAAATATTGACTGTATTAGTTACCCCCCCCCACCCCCAACACACACACACACACACACGCATGCACGCACCCCAGCCCTGTTACCCATTCATCCTTCACTATTTCTGTTAACATTCCAAGTAGGCTTCAGGAAATGCTGAGCAAGAAAAAAATAACTGCGAACGCAGAAAACCTGAAATTAAAATAGAAAAGGCAGGTATAGCAGTTGGATGAGAACCTGAAAGAGAGAGACAGGTTAATGCTTCAGGGTACTCATCAAAATAATCAAAGGCGCATTATCCTACCCCACCTCCCTGAAACATTCTGCCCCTCCATGAGGCATTTGACTCTTTTCTCCATACAATGAGGAAACAGCTGCCATCCTGTGGTACTTTGCACAGTAAAGGGGGGAGCGGCGGGGGTACATTATTCACAAGCTAATTGACAGTGGGGATATTACAGCAGTTTATTCCTGTCTTAACCGGGTGTCCATAAGGACACCCTTTCCATTGGTGGGGTTGTTGTACTGATCACGAGCAGGAAGCCTGGCCCAGCCTTCTCTCTCACCACCCATCACCCTTCCCCTTCCCTCCCTGCCGAGGTGAACTACCAATCATCTTACAGTCTGCAATCAAGCCAAACACAGGCAGGATCATGGTTCGTCTGTGGTTAGTGTGCTTCTGCTTCTCACTGGACAAACTCACCGGGCCGTCCACGGAATGCTTCGTGGTGAACGGTCCCACCCAAAACCTTAGCTTAACTCTTCTTTTCCACATGCTGATGAACCCGCTGTTCAGGAATGTTAACATATATTCCCCCTCCGCCCCCAACTCCTTGGTATGTCGAGACCAACTAACATTTTGCTGCTGCCGGCACACAATGGCAATGCAGACCACCATTACACTTCCCCACTACAGCCTGCAGTGAGTGGGATTATCTCTCGCCATCAACAAGCTGTAACCAGTTATCGAGGAGCTAAATGTGGCAGGGAAGCCAACTGTCAACTGCTTGTGTGCCAATCTTCCTGTCCCTTCCCAACTCGTACTCAATCACAGATGTAGTGTCTCAGTATAGTCCAAACCTAGGCCCTTGGCTGTAAAATCTTCCCTGCTCTGTGGCTCACACCACATGGTGCATTGACCCACTTGGGGTGGGGGGGGGGGGGAGGGGGAGGGAGGAGATGGAAATCTCGAACAGCAAACATTAACGGAACATAATTACAAACCACAATATTCAAGAACCACGTTGAATAAAAAAAATCAAGTTACAGGAAAGGGAAGAGAATAGACAAACTAAAAAAAAAATTTTTTTTTTTTTAAAAACAGCCAGTTCAGCTCTTTCAAGTATAATTCAGAGAAGAAAATACATAGTACATGATCCATCCCATCTCACTGTTGCTCATGAGCTGTTGCTGCCACATTTACCTACATAATATCAGTTGCTGCAATTCAAAGCGGCTCATTATGCAAAAGGGGGTTCTTGAGACATTTCGATGTGACAAGGCGCCAGATCAAAACCAATGGAATTTTTATTCAAAGTTAAATATTGTTAAAATCCTGCAAAATCAAAAAGTCCTAGACAGCCCACAAGAAAGTCTCTTTTCCTGACATATATATATATATTATATATAGTTAATACACGCACACGAGAACGGCATAATCATAATACTTGGGATTGAAGACAGCGCCTTTCACATTGGGAGAATGTCACAAAGCGCTTCAAGGGATTTTACCGTAAAATGCAGTGTCGTGCGGCTTGCGAATTACCGTGACGACTAGCCAAGTGCGCGCTGCAACGTCCCGCGAGCAGCCACGGAAGCGCAGGGATTTTACGAAGGAACGAGAGCCCAGTCAGCGCACTGAGCGAGACCAGCACAAGTTCTCTGAGCGAGCGAGCGCGCGATGTGTGCGTTTAATTGAGCGGCTTCCCCCGCATCTCACCCGGAAGAGTTTAGGCGCTTTTCCTCTCTTTTTTNGAATAACTTGAGCTGAGATGTAAACATGGAGTGCACCGGAACTGGGTCTGGGAGTGGAGCAAAGGCAGCCAGTTTGTGGGGGACAGACATTGAGGACTGACCTGGTGATGTTCGACATGGATGCTGTCTCCTGTCGGCCAGCGGTGTTTCCCATTGTAACCGCCGCCTCCTCCTCCACCACTGCTCCCTACACCTCCACCGCCTCCTCCACCACCACCTCCGCCGCCGCCGCCCCCTCCCGCTCCTCCCAGCTGCTCCACCGGCTGCCTCTGGAAGAAATAATCCACCATGGCATCGTCCTGCGAGCGGCCCGCAGCCAGTGCCAGCCCGGGCACTGCCAACGGGGGCCCCATGGAGCCTGGGCCTTGCGTGGAGACCGAGCCGGCCACCAGGGCCTGCGAGGCGACGTGCTGCTGCGGCTGGGCACCGGCGGGTCCTGTTAGCACCACCGGCATGTTGTGGGCAACGCTCTGACCGAGTGTGTCCTGGGGAGGCTGCTGTTGATGCTGATACTGTTGCTGCTGGGGGAGGGAGTCCTGCCAGAGCACTTCATTCATACCTTAAAAACACAGGGAACAACCATTCCACCTATACCTAGGGGGAAACAAACACAAAAAAACATTCCCACACTTTAACACGATGTAACAACACAAAAAAAATTGACCCTCTTTTAAATCGAAATGCCATTTTTTTTAAAAAAACTACAATCCTTGGCCTTGTGCAATGGCACATGTCCAGCATGTGTGAATACATTTCACTTTTTTTAAACAATTATATAAATATATATTTATATAATATATAGTCAACATTGCTCACACTTCCTTCAGGTGTTTTTTTTAAAACTGTCAAACATATAGGGTCCGCTTTTTGAAAATATACTTTATATATTTACATGTTATATTTAGCTATAAATTCAACCCCAGTCACAATGTTTACAGGCTTTTTGGGGGAAAAAACTCAGCTATTGAAAAGTTCACTTTGCATGATATATATATATATATAAATATAAAAAGAGGGAATATTTTGCAAAGTCAGCACTGCAGTTTGCATTTACTTAATCCTCTCTCTGCCCCCACCCCCCACATACACACACACGCGCGCGCACACACACACACACAGCTGTGCTTTTATGTCTACTTTTATTATAAAGCAATTCTTTTTATTAGAAGTTTGTTTTGAAAAAAATATTTGGACTTCAAGCAAGAATGGTTTGGTGGTGGTGGTGATGGTGGGGGGGGCAGAGTAACATCTGATAAAGCACAATTATGAGCTAAAACGCATCTCTCACTGACACAATACACGAGTTAAAAACAGGTTTTGCATTTCACAGCAAACCCCCTTCCCTCCATTCACCCGACACAACTCAGCTCCTATAACAATTATTTTCCTCTTTTAGAAAAACCCAAGTCTCCGAATGTTTCATATTTTTTTTTACACACGAAGTAAACCTAAAAAATCCCCAACTCCAATTATAAAAAAAAATCATGTACCAGGGAGGGACATCATTGAAATTCTACCGATTAATATAAAATACATTGCAACACGTGCAAGCAAAGCAGCATTTTGCTCCCCCAACAGAAAAGTAGTTTCAAACATAAAATACTCAAGATTTTCCAAGAACAACCAACCTCCCCCCTCCCCAATTACGAGTACTGCAACAGCTGAATATGGGGGGGGGGGGGTGTAAAAAAAAAAGCCTCACATCTGAAATGTAGGAACACAAGATTTCATTTTCTGATTAAAATATTAATCCTATAAAATATACACACATACACACACAGTCTCAATGCTTAATTCAATAACACCTATTTCTTTTTATGGAAAGAAAATTAAGAGAATTTTCCCCCCCCATCAAGAAGAAAAAATAAATCTCTCTCCTTTTTTCCCCACCCCCTCTCTTTATTTGAAGCAGAAGACTCAAAAGCTTTAAACAACACAAACAAACACACAATTGCCCCCCACCCAAATAACTCGTTTCACCACGAGGAAAAGCATTTAAGAATCAATGCTCCTTAACAATGCATATTTCATACACTTCTCCCCCACCCCACCCCTAACACACCACCCCCACCCCTAACACACCACCCCCACCCCTAACACACCACCCCCACCCCTAACACACCACCCCCACCCCTAACACACACACACACACAAAAAGGCTTTGAACACATGAACAACCTCCTCCACACATTGGAAGCAAAGCAGACTCTCTCTCTCTCTCTCTCCCCCCACCCCCTTCTTTCTTTATTTACTCTCTCCCCCCACCACCCACCCCCCGCCAACCTCCTCCCAACCAACCAATCACCCCCACCCACCCCCCAGAAAAAAAAAGCTCCCTTTTCCAAGTCAAAAATTCGCAATTCCTTTCAAAAAAAACATTAAAAAAAAACTTCTTTTTTCCCCTTAAAAAAAAATGAACAAACAATTCCAGATCTTGGGCACGAAAAAAAAGGCCATCAAAACACCCCCCCCCCCCACCACCCCAATCCCCCTCCACACACCCCCCCCAATCCCCCCTCCACACACACACCCCCCCCAAACCCCCCTCCACACCCCCCAAAAAAACACACAACAAGCATTGCTCCAGCTTTCATCAAAAAAAATAACTACGGTTTCTTTCTCAGACCCCCACTCACCCAACCCCCCCCCCCACACCCTCAAACCCCCCCCCACACCCCTCAAACCCCCCCCCCCCACACCCCTCAAACCCCCCCCCACACACACCCCACACCCCTCAAACCCCCCCACACCCCCAAACACAACACAAACAAGACCCCCCCCCCAAAAAAAAATACATTAATTCTACTCGATTTAACGACCTGCCCCCACCCTGAGAGGAGGGGGGGGAGGGGGGGGGGGGTGTGTGGGTGAGGGGTGGGTCTCAGATGGGATTTATTTCCCCCCTAAAGTGCCCCCCACACGCCCCCACCCCTCAGACCCTGGTACAATACTGCTGCCCTCCCCCCCCCCCCCTCACACACCACCTCCAACCCCCCCCCTCCCCTCCCCCAACACTCACTCCCACACTTCACTCACTACAACAATGGCCCCCGAAGCCCGAGCGCTGATCCGAAGCGGGAGGAGGGGGGAGAGGAGGGGGAGAGGAGGGGGTGTGGGGGAGAGGGTGAGGAGAGGGGATGGGGGGAGGGGGGCGCCCAGAAACCCAACACCCGCACCCCCGGGGGCTCGCCGCCTCCCCCCCTCTCCCTCCCTCCCCGATATCCAGGCCGGCGGGTCGGCCCGGCTCCCGGGCGTCGAGGGCGGGGGTCCGGGCGGCCGTACTCACGGGCGGAGCGGGCGGATTGCGGCGGATTGCGAGGGCCCCCCTCACGCGCTCTCTGTCGTCTCTCTCTCTCTCTCTCCTCTTCTCCTCCTCACAACATGGCGCGGCGCTGGGGACTGGCGCGCGCGGGGCATCCTGGGAGATCTCAGCCTCCCCTCCCCCCTCCCCTCTCTCCCTTCCCCCCTCCCCCTCTCCCCCCTCCCACTCTCCCCTCCCCCCTCCCTCTCTCCCCTCCCCCTCCCACTCTCCCCTCCCCTCCCCCCCCACTCTCCCCCTCCCCTCTCTCCCCTCCCCCTCCCACTCTCCCCTCTCTCCCCTCCCTCTCCCCCCCCCCCTCTCTCCCCTCCCCCTCTCTCCCCCCTCCCCCTCTCTCCCCTCCCCCCTCTCTCTCCCCTCCCCCCTCTCCCCTCCCCCTCCCCCTCTCTCCCCTCCTCCCCCCCCTCTCTCCCCTCACCCCTCTCTCTCCCCCTCCCCTCTCTCCCTCCCCTCCCTCCTCTCCCCCTCTCTATCCCCTCCCCCCCTCTCTCTCCCCCTCCTCCCCTCCCCCTCTCTCTCCTATCCCCCTCCCACTCTCCCCTCCCCTCTCTCTCCCCTCCCCCCCTCCCTCTCTCTCCCCTCCCCCCTCCCTCTCTCTCCCCTCCCCATCCCCCTCTCTCTCTCCCCCCTCCCTCTCTCTCTCTCCCCTCTCTCTCCCTCCCTCTCCCTCTCTCTCCCCTCCCCCTCTCCCCCCTCCCCTCTCTCTCCCCTCCCCCCCTGTCTCTCTCCCCTCCCCATTCCTCCCCCTCTCTCCCCCTCCCTCTCCTCTCTCCCCCCTCCCCTTCCCTCCCCCTTCTCTCCCCTCCCCCCTCCCCTCTCTCCCCCCTCCCCTCTCTCCCCTCCCCCTCTCTCCTCCCCTCCCCCTCTCTCCCCTCCCCCTCCTCTCCCCTCCTCCCTCCCCCTCTCTCCCCTCCCCCTCTCTCTCTCCCCTCCCCTCTCTCCCTCCCCCCCTCCTCTCCCCCTCTCTATCCCCCCCCCCCTCTCTCTCCCCCTCCTCCCCCCCCTCTCTCTCCTATCCCCTCCCACTCTCCCCTCCCCCTCTCTCTCCCCCCCCCTCCCTCTCTCTCCCCCCCCCCTCCTCTCTCCCCTCCCCATCCCCCCTCTCTCTCTCCCCCTCCCTCTCTCTCTCTCCCCTCTCTCTCCCTCCCCCCTCTCTCCCCTCTCTCCCCCTCCCCCCTCCCCCCCCCCCTCTCTCTCCCCTCCCCCCTGTCTCTCTCCCCTCCCCCATTCCTCCCCCTCTCTCCCCCTCCCTCTCTCTCTCTCCCCCCTCCCCCTTCCCCTCCCCCTTCTCTCCCCTCCCCCTCCTCTCTCCCCCCTCCCCCTCTCTCTACCCTCCCCCACTCTCTCTCTCCCCTCCCCCCTCTCTCTCCCTCCCCCTCTCCCCCTCCCCCTCTCTCTCCCCTCCCCCATTCCTCCCCCCCCTCCTCCTCTCTTCTTCTTCTTCTTCTCCTCCTCCTCCCACTATTACTACTTCCACTCTCTCTTTGTTTGCAAATAGACCCACACGCTAAACAGATGGCAGCCCCAACCCCCACCCACCCCAATCCATCCAGTGCGCCCCACCCCCCCACCCCTTCCGCAAAGCGCCCTTGCGCGCCCTGCGTCGTCTAACCCGCCCGCCCGAGAACGATACTTGTCGGGATCCGTACGGACCGCTGACCCGCGCGAGGACGGACGGTCGGTCCGGCGATGGACCCGTCGGTCGATCGGTCCGGCGATCGGTCGATCGTCGATCGGTCGATCGTCGATCGGTCGATCGTCCTCGCATCGGATCCGGCGCCCGGTCGCCTCTTGTCGAGGCGCCTCCAAGGGCTTGTCGGCTGGGGCGGGCCGCAGAGCGCGGCCACCGGACGTTTGGGGGGTGGGCCACGCCAGCCCCAGCGGCGCGCGCAAGATGCTCTCGCTCACTTGACCGACTTAATCGCTCTGTTTTCTTCCTTTCTTCCCCCACCACCCACCACCTCACCCCACACACACGCGCGCACACACACACACACGCACACGCGCGCGCGCTCCCAAAGGGCGATTACAATAATCACTGGCACTTCAAATCCGGCCGCAGTTTTTCCCCCTCCCACCCTTTTGTCCCACAGTTTCCACTCTGACCTGCGGTAATTTATACCCATTAGGGGAAGCTCCAAACAAACAGATCGCACGCTGCCGAGACTTTGCTTGTAACACAAGAGGCGTTCATTTTAAAGTATGATCTCAGTTGTGGATGTACATTAATTCAAAGGAATCGAATAACAGATTCCCTATCCCGCCTTTTTTTGGAAAAAAAATTAGTTATTTGCTCCGTGGCGTTTTGTGGGACATTTGCTGTGTTCACGTTGGCTGCTGCGTCCGCCTGGGAGGAAAAAAACCACACGGTCACCACACTTTACAGTAAATCCTGTGAAGCGCTTTGAGACGTCTCAATCAATTGAGGCTTGATAACAGTATGAAGGATGCTTGTGTAAATGCAAGGGTGGTTATTATGTATTCTACATATATAAATATTTTAATAATAATAATTTGCTCGGAGACACTACACCACGTGAAAGGCCTGCAACAACAACAACAACAAATTACATTTGTGTCACGCCTTTCACGTCAGGAGGACGTCCCCATCAATAAAGTTGCCAAATTAAGAGATTTTCTTCCGAAAACTATGCAGCAGGGAAAATGGTACAAAGGGTCTAATTCACTTACAATTTTGAAAATTTTATACAGGATTAAGAATGACTGTATATTTGAATTGCACTCGTTTGTGTTGGTTTAAAAACAGAAGCACGTCTTAAGCACTGGCATTTACAATCCCCCAGTGGGTCACTTACTTATCTACGATAAGGGACAATTATTTCCCAACAATTTATTTGCAGTGATTGTATCCCAATAGATAATCGTTAAGTGAAAGACACCGTCATGCATTATTGACGGAGAATGCATCATGTATCAGGGGGCACAAAATATGCCGTCTCCTCATAAACTGTCAGCTTGGCTCATGTTGGCACAGCACTCTCAACTTGGAATCAATTCGTGAGTCCAATCCAATGCAGTGCTGGTTGGGGGTGGGGGGGGTGGGTGACGTTGGGGGGCATTGCATTGTCGGAGGTGTCCTTTGGATGAGATGATAAACGACCTGTTTAGTTGGACGTTAAAGATACCATGGCACTATTCGAAAAGAGAAGGGAGTTTCTCCTGGTGATCTGGTCAACGGATCCCCCCAGGTAACATTGGTCATTCACTTCATGGCTGTTTATGGGATGTCGCTGTGTGTCGATAAGCAACTGCGGTCGTCTACAAAATACGCAGTGAAGCGCTTTGAGACGTCCTCCTGAACCGATGCACATTGACCTGCCACACAAAGGATAGTGCAGTGTGGTGTTCCCTTCTTGTGTTAGGATGGAATGAACACGGGTCATAATCCGCAATGAGACTGCCGGATGACTGAAAGCGCGGTCAAAAAGGTGCGCGAGGCATTGAACCCCTCGAGGGGCACGTGTGGGGGGGTGGGGTGCGGGGAGGGAAGAGAGGCGTTGAACCAAATGGCCCGTATATCTGCTCTTTGACCCTCTGTGTGATTCTATCTACATAACAGCATGGGATTTCTTGCGAAGCAGAACTGGATAAATACCATATACTGTAAAAATGAAACAAGGCGCTAGTTTAATCTGCAGCAATGAGGAGCTGCAGATTAACTAGCGCCTTGTTTCATTTCAGCCACACAACAAATTGGCAATTGCCGCGCCTTTGTGGAACCACTAGATGTCCTTTTGTAATAAATACCGTGTTCACAAAGTCCTGTTACTACCACGTGGTTTTTTTTTACACAGTGCACTGACTAACAACTGAAACACGTGGAAGAATGATGATAGTTGTAGTCACAAGAACTCACCAATAATAATGAATTGTAATGTTATATCAATATTAATACTTATTATAATAATGAGGATTATTATTATATTCGGTACAAGTGTTTAATTGTATTTAGACGTCCAGAGTGTGTGTGTGTGTGTATGTGTGTGTGTGTGTGTGTATATGTGTGTGTATGTGTGTGTGAGCCCCATCATTTTTGTGGCAGATAATCATCCGTCCCCACATTGGGTGTGACACCTTCCGTAACACAGATGGAGTGATGGACGAGGAAGTTACTGGTATTGTTACGCTCAACGCAATCCTCAGCAGAAAATAGAAATGTATTGTAAGAAAGAAAACACAGGGAAGGGTGACAGGACTTTGTGAACACGCTGTACATGTAAATGCCTCTGTGAGTCTCTCCCGTTGCCCAGTCACTACACTTGACCGTATAATCTGGAAAACGCTCAAAGCCAACCGTCCTAGTTGTGAATTAAAGATGACTTCCTCCTGGATGGTCCCCTATCTAGCTCATCAATTCTGTTTGTTGCTTTAAGCATCACAACCAGATCACCCTTTAACCTCCTCGGCTCTAAGGTATATAATGCAAATCTACCCAACCTCTCGTCAAAGCTAAGCTGCTTGATCCTGGGTATTAATCTTGTGAACAGTAGCTGAATGACGTCCAAGGCTGAGCTAAGCTGAGCTGACATCTCCCTCTGGGCAGCTCCTCAGCCTGACTCAGTTCCTAACCTCTGGGTTAGGATGGTTGTGAATTCGAGGCTGAAACTCCAGTGCAATGCTGGGGGAACTGCTTCGCTGCAGATGAAACTGTTGTCAAGGACGTTACGCTTACCATTGTCCCATAGCATAGTGGTTAACCCTCTCTCCTCGCCAGCTAGTGGACCCGGGTTCGATTCCCGGGCAGGGCAAAACCTTTAGGCAAGTTTCATTACTCCACACGCCTCTGTGTCCCCAACAGTAAGCAGGAACCTGGTTGTTAGGCGGATCACTTTCCCAGGGGTAGTAATCCCTCAAAAAAANTATGGTCACTCAATCCATGTTTGTTTGTCGATACTGCTCTGTGCAAGCAGCTGCATCGTTTCGCCCACAAAATATACAGTCAATTCACCTTAATATATTCTGTAGAGCGCTTTGAGATGTCTCAACGACATGAAAAGGCGCTATATCAAATGCCCGGAGTATTACACGTTATGATAATATCAAATGCAAGGGTTATTCTTATATTAACATTAAGAGACAGTTATCAAAAAAAATCGGAACATGCCTTCGGTCACCTCCTACTTCTTACTCGACACCCATCTCTCTGCTGATTGAGTTCTTAAGAGACCTTGATTTTGACGCGTGCGACGTGTTGTGAACACAAGTTTCTGGAGTTTTGGTGGGAGCTTGTAGTAAATCTCTTCTGCCTCCAAGTGGCGTTCTTCTCCATCAGAATCCATGCGAAAGAGAAGACAAAGGAAAGCTTTGATTAACTCTTTGAAAAATTAACCGCACACGTTGCTCAGCCTGTTGCTAGGACACTCGCTCTTCAGCACAGAGGCTGGAGAAAAGCAGCGCCAATAGCCAAATAGCACCCAGAGCGTTATCGACGGAACACGTCAGGGCTCTGAGCTCACAGTCGAGGCTGCCGTTCCAGTGTCGCGCTGGGGGGAGCTCTGCGTTGTCAGCGATGCCGTCCTTCGGTTGAGACGTTAGGTTTCATCACTGGCTGCTCGGGTGGATGTCAAAGATCCTGGGGCGCTAGTTAAAAATACCCTCTCTGCTTTCCGAATCCTTTTCAAAACCTTGCCTGTCTGCCCTCTTGGTCAACTCCCCCCGACCCTTCTCGCCCCCGCCCATTCCGCACACACATATGTCACCCTGACTCACATGAGCTCCCGTTTCTGTGACGTAAAGTTGGGACGTTTGCCTACGTGAAAGTTACTGCACCAACGCATGCTGTAGTGGATGTTGGACTTTGGATGACATTTCAAAATGTTCCTTCCACCACTAATGTTTACAATTCCTCACCCCATCCATTTACTGGAACAAGTTATGAATCATAATTATCATGTTTACAAGTCCGAAGCTAACATCCAGCTTGTTTTCATTTTGTTTATCCTTCTCCTTCTGCCAACCAATGTTGGAACGTTGTTTAAATAAACGGGAGGGTGACAGTAATAATAATAATCTTTGCATTTGATTTATATAACGTACTTCCGATATGAAAAGAGCTATCTCAATGTAATCTTGTTGCTGTTGAAGTGTTATCATTTTTTCGAGAGGTCTCCAAGGACTTCACAGGATAAATTGTAAAGTAGTTTGACAGTGTATTTTGTCCGTGTAACATAGTGGCCAGCTGCGCACACGGCAATTTGGAGCCATCTTAAATAAAAATCCAGTGTGGAAAGCCTACGAATAAATAAAGCCTCCCTTTAAATGTATTTATTCCAAAAAATTGGAGTTGCTCGAAATCCATCATTGTGCTTCCACCGAGAAAGCTTAGACATCAGCTCAGAATCAAGGTCAAATACAACATAGGCAAAGGGACCCATTACCCAATGTGTGTAAACAATTTGCACACAACGTGCCTGCGATGATGTAATTATCAGAGTGATCGGGACACCTGGAATTCCCTCTGTTCACGTAGGCATGACGCCAATTACAAAACACGTGTGTGTTTTGCATGTTCGTGTTTTGCACGTGTCAATTGGTGGGTCTCGCGTTGCCAAAGGCAGTGACGGTCCGAGTCCTGACATATGCAGGCTCATCGCTGAAACCCCAGCCCCGCGCTCGCTACCTCTGTTATCAAACCACAGTCTGGCTACGGTTACCCACTTTCTCTCTTCCACCCCCCCCCACCCCCACTCCTCCCCTCACCCAAGAAAAAGACAAGATCTTCTGGAAAGCAAAGGGGAAATTGTCGTTCAGACGACAACTGAGAGAATCTTGTTCCTATTGCTAACAAAGGGAGTCTGTTGAGGACGGCTTAGGCTAGGCTTTCTAACCTTTTCCACACTACTCCTTTAAGGGAACCTTGTTCTATGCCTTTCTCCTTTTATAGGCACAGGATGTGGCCAACCAATAGTTGTATATAGACGTTGAACTCAGCCACACAACAAGAAAAATTTGATTGGGTGCCCAGGATCCTAATTCACTCATAAAACACAAGCCGGTTCCACCCATTTGTCATAGTTACAGCATTCCTGGGGCACTAATGATTTACAGCATTGAAGAGCTCAACTCGGGTTAGTTTGCAGATTTTTTTCCCTCTGTCGGACATTTCTGACCGTGACAAGACCAAGACGTACCTGTCGGGATATCTTTCCTTGGGCGGAAAGAGGAGCTTTGGGAAGTGAATTTCCCATCCCTTACTTCTCCTCTCTCCCTCCTTCCCGAACAGGCCACCAAAATAAAAGCCTGGAGATAGGAACATGACAGCGATAAGGAAGAAACTGGTGATTGTAGGAGATGGAGCCTGTGGCAAGACGAGCCTGCTGTTTGTCTTAAGCAAGGACGAGTTCCCTCAGGGATATGTTCCTACCGTCTTTGACACCTATGTGGCTGATATCGAGGTGGACGGGAAGCAGGTGGAGCTGGCTCTCTGGGACACAGCCGGTCAAGAGGACTATGACCGCCTGCGGCCGCTGTCCTACCCCGACACGGACGTGATCCTCGTCTGCTTCTCGGTGGACGCCCCTGACTCCCTGTGGAACATCCCGGACAAATGGATGCCCGAGGTGCAGCACTTCTGCCCCGGCGTGCCGGTGGTCTTGGTGGGCAACAAGAGGGACCTTCGGAATGACGAGAGGGTCCGCAAGGAGCTGGCCAGGACCAAGCAGGAGCTGCTCAGGTGGGAGGATGGCAAATCCATAGCGGACAGGATCGGGGCGTACGATTACCTGGAGTGCTCAGCCAAGACAAAGGAAGGTGTCTGGGAGGTCTTTGAGACGGCGACCAGAGCCTCGCTTAACACCAAGGACCCCGGCTGCTTTGCCTGCGCATGTGCTCTTATATAGCGCCGAGAGGCGACACCTCCACATCAGGGAAACGGACCCAAAAGTACTGCGTCTCCAACCCTAAACGTTTGCCTCAGGAGGAAATAATAATCCCTACCTGGGGGAGGGGAATAAGGGTGGGGCGGGGAGGAAAGAGTTGATATAATGCCGGAAGCGTTGACCATTGTTTTAAAAGGACGGTTCCCAAAATCCCATTCCGCCAGAAACCCGGCCATGAAATGGAACCCATCAGCTGGCGGGTGTGGGGGGGGTCCAAGCAATCAACGGAGTCGTGTGAACGCGTGGATTATTTTGCCGTCGAGCACGGACACAATCACACAGCCGAGAACCGGTAACCTACACTGACTTCGCCAGCTTGCGGATGAACAAACCTGCGGATAACTGGATATATTAATAATAATAATAACAATAATAATGGCGTAAACTGATCTGGCTACAGCGCTAACGGAAATATTCTGTTAGGAGTTATACTGGGTACACACTCTGCTAACCCTTCCCTTTCTGACTGATTGCCTGTGTCTCCCTCTTCTTTCTCTCTCTATCTGTGATCCATATTATCTTCAGCGTTCTCTCTATCGGGGTGGGGTGGTGGGGGGGGGAAGGATGAGGGGAGAGCGAGAGGGAAGCCATCCGGGAGTCCGAGCTCCTGCCCTTTACGATGTAATTAAAGCTGCATTCGATTCATTTTTTTGTTGCCTGTCTGACTGCTACTTGCCCTGCCTGCCCTGTCTTGCCTGCCTAACCTGCATAGCCTGCTGAGATTCTGGTTATGAAGTGACTCCGTACGTGAACCACTGCAAAAGGATACCAACAGGCTCCGTGTGCCAGAGTGGGTAATGGTGGGATTACCCGCGCGGTGCAATAGGGACAGGACGGGGGGGGGTGGGAACTCCGCGGTGTCGGAGGTGCCGACCTTCGGATAAGACGTCAATCGGAGCTCCCCATTCAGCTGGACATTAAAAGGAAGTTTGTCCCATTGTCCTGGCGAACAATCCCCCAGATGACAACGGCGCCCTTCACGCTGGACACCTCGGAGATAAAGTTGGTCGTTCACTTTACAGCTGTTTGGGCGACTTTGCTGTCACCACCAACACCAGAAAAACTGTCGCAGTGCCTTTACTTTCTCGTTTTCCCCGGGTACGCACTCTCACTCTATGTCGTCTGAACCTTCTCTTATTAATAAATAATAACCTCCGCATTTGATACACTGTGAAACATCTCAACTTGCTGCAACACAGCAATTACTTCTCAGTGTGGTGTTTGATGTGTATTTTATAGGTGAACCCAGCAGCCAATTTACACACATGAATTTCCCACAAACAGCCACAAAGTGAATGAGCAATTTAACCAGAACATTGTTGGCCAGGACATCGAGAGAGACTATCCTTCTCTCTGCAAATCGTGCCGCGGGATCTTTAATGTCCACCTGAACACGATTTAATGACTCATCTGAAAAGATGGCACCTCTGATGATGCTTTCCAGCCCCCTCCCCACACCCCCCAACACTGTGCTGGAATGTCAGACTAGATCTTGTGAACTCAAAAGCCCCCGACCTGGAGGCTTGAACCCACAAGATCCTGACTCAGGGTAAGTGCTTCCGACCGAGCTGGGCTGATGACACTGAAAAGGGAATTGGTTGAACAGTTGACAAAAGGTGCGGGAGAGAAGATCAGGAGAGTGGGATTGGACAATGTAGCTCGGGTGTTTGAGCGGCGACTAGTAAAGGTTGCCACCTCCGAGATGCTTAAAAAAACAGCCACCAACTCGAAAAGTACCTCCTCACTGAGCTGGTCACTGCCTTCGGACACCAGGTAACGCCTCTCCTTGCATGACTTTCCTCGACACTGCGGTACGAGGTTAACCCAAGGGATCTTTAATGCGCAGCTCGAATAGATACAATTTGCGCAAATGCCAAGAAGCCGCTATTCCACAGATTCATTTTAAAAAAGGCTTCTAAATCACGGATTCTCCCCCAATATTCTGCGCAACGTTAAACATTGTCCGTTCCCTTTCTAACAAGGCTCTAGCCTTCAACTATATCATCGTTGACGTAAACATTATTATCCTGGCCCTCACTGAAACCTGGATCACCCCAGATGACACCTTCGTCAGGCCACATGCGCCCCCCGGTTATACCTTCCACCATACCCCACGTCCTAACTGACTTGGTGATGGTGTGGTCCTCATCTCCAGCTGCTCACTTGCTCTATCCCCCTATCTCCGGCTCATTCCCCTCCTTCGAGCAGCTTCCCTCTACCGTCCCTCCAATCTTTCCCTCAAAACTTTCCTGATATATGGTCCCCTCAAACCTTCCTCGAGCTTCATCTCCGACATCTCCACCCTCCTAGCTTCCTCTGTTCTGAATGCCTCCTTATCCTCGGCAACTTCAACCTGTACTTCACCCCCTCTTGCTCTATCTCCACTGAGTTCTCCTCTCTCCTTTCCTCTCAAAACCTCTCCCTCCACATCCACTTTGCCACCCACGTTCATGGCCACCTGGTGATTACCCGGTGGCCTCAGTGTCTCAGACCTCACAATCACTGATAAAGCCATCTCAGATCACCATTTTATCTCCCTTAACTCCTCAATCCCTCTCCTCACCACCACCCAACAAACTTCCATTTCCTACCACTACTGGAAAAGAATCTCCCCGCACTCTGCCCTGGAGTCATCTGAACTCCTCCCCCTCTGGCCTAAAAGGCTTATAAAACTGCCAAGAAAAGCAGCAAATCTGAAGATTGGGAGAGTTTTAGAAACCAGCAAAATAAAGCTAAAAAACTCATTAAGAACGAGAAAAAAAGAGTATGAGGGTAAGCTCGCTAGGAACATTCAGTCTGATTGTAGAAGTTTTTACAAATATATTAAGAGGAATAGGCTAGTGAGGGTAAATGTAGGTCCACTTCAGTCAGAGACGGGAGAAGTTGTAATGGGGGATAAGGACATGGCAGAGTCCCTAAATAGGTACTTTGCATCTGTCTTCACCCGAGAAGACACAACCAGTAGCAACAGTACTGTTGGTAGCAACAGTAGAGATGCACCAAAGGGATAAGGACAGGGAGCAACTTAGGGAAATTTTCATTAGTAGAGAATTGGTGCTGGGAAACTGTTAGCACTAAAAAGTGACAAATTCCCTGGTCCGGATGGCTTGCATCCCAGGGTTTTAAAAGAGGAGCTTATGAGATAGTGGAGGCCTTATGTCTGATCTTCCAAAATTCCTTGGATTCTGGAACAGTCCCCATGGATTGGAAGATCGCAAATGTCACACCACTATTTAAAAAAGGTGGAAAGGAAAAGATGGGGAACTATAGGCCAATTAGTCTCACCTCAGTGATAGGAAAAAATTTAGAATCAATGATTAAGGATGTGGTAGTGCGGAATTTAGGGCACAATATAATTAGGCCAAGTCAACACGGCTTTGCAAAAGGGAAGTCATGTTTGACAAATCTCATAGAGTTTTTTGAGGATATTTCGAGTAAACTAGATAAGGGTGAATCAGTGGATGTGGTCTATTTGGACTTCCAGAAGGCATTCGATAAGGTGCCGCATAAACGGTTAGTCCAAAAGATAAGGGCCCATAGAATTGGGGGGAGCATATTAACGTGGTTAACCCATGGTTAATGGGTAGGAAACAAAGAGTAGGGATAAACGAGCCTTTTTAGATTGGCGGGATGTGACTAGTGGACTGCCACAAAGATCAGTCTGTGGGCCTTAGCTATTTACCATCTACATCAACGATCTAGATGAGAAAATCGAAGTTAATATATCTAAATTTGCAGATGACACAAAACTAGGAGGAAGTGTCAACACAGAGGACAACATTAAAAAAATGTAGCGAGACATAGATAGGTTAGGTGATTGTGCAGGTAGGTGGCAGATGAAGTATAATGTAGGGAAGTGTGAATTCATCCACCCAGGTAGCAAAAACAGTAGAGCGGGTTATTTTTTAGAAGGGGAGAGATTGGAATGTATTAGCGTCCAGAGGGACTCGGGTGTCCTTGTACACCAATCCCAGAAAGTTATCTGCAGGTGCAGCAGCAATTATAAGGCGAACGGTATGTTAGCATTCATTATGAAAGGATTAGAGTATAAGAGTAGGGAAGCCTTGCTGCCACTGTATAGGGCACTGGTGAGACCGCATCTGGAATACTGTGTGCAGTTTTGGTCTCCTTATTTAAGGAAGGATGTACTTGCCTTGGAGGGGGTGCAGCGTAGATTTGCTTGGTCAGTACCAGGGATGAAGGGGATGAGTTACGAGGATAGGCTGACCAATTTGGGTCTATATACTCTAGAATATAGAAGAATTAGAGGGGGTTTATAGAAACCTATAAGATCATCAAAGGGCATGATAGAGTAGATAGTGGGAGATTCTTTCCCCCGGTTGGAGAAACTAAAACCAGGGGTCACAACCTTAAAATCAGAGGCCAGCCCCCACCTCTGCAACATTGCTTGACTCCGTCACTGCCTCACCCTCTCAGGCTGACGAAACCCTCATACATGCCTTGCTTGACCAAACTTGTGACTATGCCAAGGCTTGTCGGCTTTCACAACTCTTTCCTCCGCAAGCTGCAGATCATCTAGAACTCTGCAGCTCGTTCCTCTCTCCTTAAATAATTATTATTATTTTTAAAAAATGTAAATAATAATAATTTGGTCACTTTCCACGATTGTTTGTGGGACACTGCTGTGCTGAATTCGTTACTGCATTTTTCCCACAAAATATAAGGTCAATTTACTTTACAGCATATCCTGTGAAGTGCTTTAAGACGTCTAGAAGACGTGAAAAGCGCTATATCAAATGCAAGGATTATTATTATTATTGTTACTATTTTATTTCACGTCCTTAGATATGTTCCAAGGCTTTTTTCTGTGTCCAATTACTTTTACTTTATACCATTTAATTGCTGAGCACTACTGCGGCTCAATCGCAGATCAAGGTGTCAGCCTGTCTCAGTGGGTAGCCCTCTCGCCAGGCGTGATAAGGTGCTATATCAAATTCAAGGATTATTGTTATAACTTTAAGGCAAGAGTCGGGGTGGAATTTCAGACTCGGTGCAGTTGTCAAACTGGTGAATAACATGTTCCGAAGCTGGTTGTGGTCAGGCTGGGCTCGGAGGCTTGGTGGTGAGATCACCGTGTGACTTCACTGTTGTGAAATGGATTATTATGCAGACAGGAAACAGTTCTTACCTCCTGTCCATTGGTTAGTATTTATAGTTTATCAGCCTGGAGTAGAAATAGCAGCCGGGCCCTTTCCAGCTGAGGATTTCTTTTAAAAGTAGCTTCCTCCATAGAGGTCCCGTCTACACAGCTCTGTCAAAGAGGTGTACTACAATAACAGCAACTTGCATTTATAGAAAATATATACAGTCAATTCAATACAGTCAATTTACTTTCCAGTATATGGCGTGAATCGCTTTGAGACGTTGCGAAGATATAAGGCGCTGTATCAAATGCAAGCATTATTGTTATTATTGTTATTATTATTATACAGCAACCCATCACGCAGGATGGGGCATTGATGTGTGTAAATCGGCTGAGAGTACACTTACAGTAAACCTCGTGAAGCGCTTTGAGGTGTTTTCCTGACCTGAAAAGTGCTGTGTCAAATGTAGGGATTATTATTGTTGTTATGGTTCAGTTGCTAACTCCACTATAGAAACAGCTGGCTTCTTTGGCTCACCTCCCTCTTCAAACTCTGACCTTGACTGTTGTGATAAAGTCTCTCCTTTCATTGCTCCAGTCTGTTCTCTTCGCTGGTCCACTTTATCTCAAATAAAACATCAGCTCCCAGTGATTATCCCTTTTTTAGTCCACTAGAGACAGCCTCAGTAAGTGCCCTGTCCTTTGTCTTGTTTTCAGCCTCTTCTGCTCTGTGAACTGCTTGTCCTTCTGCTTGGAAATGTAATCATTTCATTGTATTTCAAAGTCATAATTTCTCCCATCGCACACTGCTCGTACCTCCTCCTCCCCCCACCCCCCCCCCCGCCGGTTCTCCCCACCCACCCCCACCCCCACCCCCACCTTGGTTGCCCAGTCAGTGTAAGACGCTTTGAGGCATTCTCCTGATGTGCTCCATTGGTGATCTTTCTCACCCACGCAATACACAGTCAATTCACTTCACAGTATATCCTGTGAGGTGCCTTGAGAGGTCTCAACGATGTGATAAGGCGTTTTATCAAATGTAAGGATCATTATTATTATTATCATCTTTTTGCTTGAGCCACAGAGGGGGGACATCCGCTGGATGTCGATTAGGGTTATTGTGGGCTCCAGCCACCATGAATCTCCAAATAGCGTAGGCTCAACACCTCAGCAGTAACCTTTGCTTTGCGGCTTCTCAATGGATTAAGGTTGTGTTTGGCTCCAGCCGAAGAGAAAAGTCTTGAGACAGACCTTGAAGGAGGCAAGAGAGAGGCGGAAAGATACAGTAAAGTGTGTACCAGACGAGCCCAAGGGCTCTCCACAGATCAACTGAATCCAGGGATGCACACCATTCCTGTGGTTCCCATTTGACCGCAGTTCCTGTGCAAATCACAACTGGAAAGGAACTGCAGGCATTCAGCCAAGTGCAGCGATGTGAACGATCTATTAACATACGGTAGAATATGGGAACTGTATTCACCCCTGTCTCAGAGAGGTCACCTCATGCGGCACTGTGCTCACAAACAGAGGCTGCGCATAATAAGTATTACTATTAGTGCATATATGATAATAATTATGAAAATTACACATGAAATAATAATAACCCTTGTAATTCACCTGGAGCCTATCAAGTTGAAACATCTTAAAAAGAGCTTTGCGAGAAGTTGCT